ATGTGTATATATATATATTGCGATGTTCTTTATTAATTACCTTTCAATTAGACAGTCTTGTCACTTTTGATTTAACGTCTCCCAGTCATTGTTTCTACCACGTGGGTAACATCCATTGTTTCTACCACGTGGGCCACCGCACACCAGCCGATTTTTACAAACGACGAAGCGATGAAGCGATGAAGCGATGAAGCGATGAAACGATGCAGGTGTGCGCGTTCATTTGTAGACGATTTTATATTTATCGGGTGATCGTTCCAAAATCAAACATGTTTGATTTTGAACCGATTATTTGGACGCGATTTTCTGGTGTGCGCGTGATTATGTGGAAGATTGAACAGCGTGTGCGAGTGGCTGTGTAAATTTCCACACTCAATTCGCATTGTTCGCTTGATTGTTCGCTTGGACGCATTGTATTTTTTTCTCAGCTCGCATATTCAGGCCGCCGCACACCTACATCGCTTCATCGCTTCATCGTTTCATCGCTTCATCGCTTCATCGTTTGTAAAAATCGGCTGGTGTGCGGTGGCCTTTACATCCAAAGGTCGCACGGTGTGCCAAGTTGAGCTAATAGCATTATAGGAGTATCATATATAGACATACCTGAATCATCATGAATAAATGAATTACAGAATAAATCATAGGGAAACTAAGGCATGCAAATGTTTAATTTTCACTTTTCGAGCGAGCCACATTCCTCTCTAATAAATGTACTCCTGATATTATGATATTCCTGATAGCATAAATGCGGGCTGCCAACATATGTGGCAGAAATAGAAAATGCTGAAATGGTCATACATTTTTCTGATCGGGAAGCAGTCCTATCCAGGTTGAACCCTCATGAGTATTTCGTGTGTTTCTGAATACGTCTTCTTAAGTTTACAACAAAACTTCGTTATGCCAGGTTGCTCATTGACACAAAAGCGCCAAACGCCAAAACATTTGCCCTGCACAAAACACTTTCAGAGTGTACTGTCGTGCAGTAAATTGACTATGGTTGCGTACGTGTACACGTGGTTGCGCGCGCGCGCGTGTGTGTGTGTGCGTGCGTGCGTGCGTGTGGCGTGTGCGTGTGCGTGTCGGTGGCGTGTGCGTGTGTGTTGGGTGGTGTGTGTGTGTGTTGTGTGTGGTGTGTGTGTCTGTGCATGTGTGTGTGCGCGCGCGTGTACATGCGTGTGTTTACGTGTCTGCGTGCGTGTGTACGTGTGTGACTGTGTGTGCGCGCATGTGCGTGTGTGTGCGTGTGGATGTTTGCTGCAGACGTGCGGACGGGCGTACATGTATACATTTGGCCGCGGGTAATACACACGTACGACATGCGTGCGCAATTCATCCAAAACATGTCACACACAGCTATCGACTGGGAAGGATGTGACTGGTACACTCATACCTACGACAACTCAGCAGGCGGCATCATGACGTCACCAATGTACCCTAAAAATTACCCGAGCTACGTCGAATGCCGGTGGCACTTCGAAGCACCGCCAGGAAAGGTACGGCACAATATCACTAATTGTACCAGGATTGGTCCGTGAAATGGGATTTTCGCTCGTCCTCTAATTTGATCTCTTTCGCATTTACATTTGGTTATGATGTACCGGGAAACACGTAGTAACGACAAAGATTACTTGTTTATTTGAGCAGCAGCGTCTCATAAGCTCCTATATTTTATGTCAGGTCGTACATCTAGAGTTTCTCGTCTTCAACGTGGAGTCCTCTAACAACTGCTCCAATGATTCGCTGACTGTGTACAACGGAGCCGATGGCAATGCGACCATGTCAGCTAGACTATGCGGTTGTGAGATACCAGGCGACCAAATCTCCAAGGACACATATGTCCTGCATTTCGTCAGCAATGATAATGCAACTTTGATCGGCTTCAAGATCCGCTATAGTTTTAATGAATCTAAACGTAAGTAGTATAGATACACGCGATCCTTTTACAGATTCAGTTATGTGTTTACGTTATGAATAAAACAACAAAATACGTGACTTCTGTGGCTTCTTTCGAATGTTTGTACCCGTGCGCGTGCGCGTGTGCGTGTGCGTACGTGCGTGTACACTTACGTACGTGCCGGGCGCGTGCGTGTGTGTGCGTGTGTGCGTGCTTTTGAGCGTGTGTGCGTGCTTGTGTGCTTGTGTGCGTGTGTGCATGCGTGCGTGCGTGCTTGTGTGTGCGTGCGTGCGTGAGTGTTTACATTTGGTCTTACCTATGCGCTAGTTACGGTAAGTAACAACCGTGGCGCTATTCTTTGTTTTTATTTTGAACCTCTAGCGTGGGAAAGATGTGACGGGTACACTCACACCTACGACAACCCAGCGGGCGGTATCATGACGTCACCAATCTTCCCTAAAAATTACCCTAACAACGTCGACTGCAAGTGGCATTTCGAAGCACCGCCTGGGAAAGTAAGGAGATTTATTGTTTATCATATGAAATTAATTCCAAAAACTGATTTCTTTCCCTTCGAGTCATCATTGAATTTGTGAGGCAGCAGCGTCTGATAAGCTTCTATATATTTACTGCAGGTCGTACATCTAGAGTTTCTCAGCTTTAACGTGGAATCCTTCCGAAACTGCTCGACTGATTCGCTGACTGTGTACAACGGAGCCGATGAGAGTGGTTCCATTTCAGCCAGGCTATGTGGGCTTAAAATACCCGATGACCAATTCTCCAGAGACACGGACATGTTCCTGCGTTTCGTAAGCGATTCTAACGAAACTTACATCGGGTTCAAGATCCGCTACAGTTTCAATGATTCTAAACGTAAGTGGCGATAGATGATATAATGTCAAATGCAATCATTTACACTTTATGGAAAAATGAATATCGTGGTGATTTTATTATATTATTTTAGTTAAAAATGAAATGTGTGCCTGCNTTATATATATATATATATATATATATATATATATATATATATATATACTCGGGTTATATATGAATCACCCGCTTTACTCTAGCCGCTCGCCCCTTCTTCAAATAATTTGCGCCCGTCCTCACGCGCGCACACGGATAACAATAATTCCTAAAGCCCGGCTAAGATTATTCTACTAGCGTCACATGCACGTGCAAGAAAGTAGATAAGGGAACAGAAAGTATATAATAAGGCTTTGCGAGTAGTTGCCATCCAATTCATAAGCAAGAAGTGAACGAACGATGCGCGGTCAAGTTGCTTTCATCTGTTTTCTGCTGGGCAGCCTGGCACAGGCTCTGTCTGAAGATCCTGATGCTACCACGGCGCTTCAACGTGAGTATTGTCGTATCCCATTCCCGTATTTTTTTATTTCGTATCTCATATGCATGAATTTTGTCTTCTGCGTACCTGTAAATCGTTGAGTTGCACGCGCTACGGTTTTATTCTACGTCTACTTTGGTTCTAGTTCCGCGTGAACTACGGCTTAAACATAACTCATCAAAAGTGTGGTTAATGTATCGATGGCTACTAGCTTGCATCGTGCTAAATTACTGAAATGTTTAAACGCGGCACCGAAGAATTTAATATATAAATATAT